TCGGGCCATGGCATTGACACAAAAATGTTTACATCATGCTAGGTGCTGGGGCTTGCAGACATGAACTGCATGTGCTGCGGTCTCTGGGGATTTATGTGGGACTATGGTAGGAACAACAGACCAGAAATGTCCCTCTTGTCATCCAGGTGGAGACCCCCTGCCAACTCATACTGTCCATTAGGAAAAATCTCACTCCTTTTAGCTTAAAAATAGCCTTTTTCTTTGGTTCCCTTGGAGTGCGATTTGAAAAGTTATCTATTCTCACCCAGTCTGATTGTCCTATTTTCTCAGGTCTGCCATGGGACTTGGTTACCATAGCAGCCCTATAAATAGTGTCTGAACATGACATTTGGAATAAACTAAGAATCCTGACTGTATCTGGCTCAAAGGTACAAAACAAGTGCATGTGCCCTGGAGGCAGACTGGCTGGGGCGCTCCTAGCCTGGGAGGGTCTCGCCTACGTCAAGGCTTGGCATGTATAGCCCACCTTTGTTTTAGATCAAAAAGGAAGATTTTACAGTACAGATTTGGGTAGGAGAAAGGGGTGCCCCAAGGCCTGAGTCCCTAGCCTACCTGCTCTCTGACGTCAACCTTGCCCAGGGCAGCTATTGAGCCACCAGCCCAGAAACGTGGCCCCAAGGCTGCGCTGTCCTTGGTGTCCAGGACATTGTCAGAAAAGCACAGCCAGCTCCAGCGTCTTGGCTCAGAGAAGCTATACCTTGGCCTGGATTCATTGGTTTTTGGTTTTGGTTTTGGTTCTCTGACCTGAAAGGAATGAAGAAACCAGTAGCCAGATATTCTAGAACAGGAGTCAGCTAACTACAGCCTATAGGCCCAATCCAGCCTGCTGCCAGTTTTTGTAAATAAAGTTTTATTGAGACACAGCTGTGCGCACTCCTTTGCAGACTGTGGCTGCTGTCACACTACAGCAGCAGAACCGGCTAATTGCAACAGAGACCGTACAGCCCACAAAGCCAAAATTATTTACCATCTGGCCCTTTAAAGGAAAAGTCTGCCAGCCCTGGTCTAAAAGAAGTAAAGATTTGAGGCAAACTGGAGAAAGAATTTTAAAAAGGAAACTATTCTCCAGGGAAACCTGAGGTAAAGACCAGGGTGAGGAAGTTGCCAGTGTGGAAATTTAGTCTATGAGCTGAGGAGGCTGCTAGGTGTCCAGCCCGCAGCTCTCCAGAGCCTGCGGCAGGAAATGGTTGTCTTCTGAAAGGGTTAACTGCCTTGAACCAGAGAGGGTAAGACATGATGGCTTCTTAGATGTGATTCCATGTTCCAGAAAGGCTTCTTCCAGGCAAAACGATTGCTGGGGCTTTGGCAGCCAGCAGGTGGGAGCTGGAGGGAGGTAGGAGGCTTTCAAGCTGGGGCGGGATCTGTCTGATTCAGATAGACCTGAAAGAGGTGGGCGGGAAGTTTTCAGAGGTCCAGGCTGGTGCCGCTGGGGTTCTTTCCTGAGAGGGAAAAGGGGAGCTTGGTCCACTGGCTTCATGGAGAACCTGCACTCCTCACTTTGTACAGAAAAAGGTATTCCTCACTGCTGGGAAGTCTGAGGCTTCAGTCTGCTCACCCAGCTGCCCCAAGAGATGCTTCTTCATTCCACAGGGAACAAAATGGTCCTTTGTCTGGAGAGAGGAATCCAGGTCCAACGCACAGGAAGCCTGAGCTCCAGCTTCAGACCCCTGCCGAGAATGACCCGGGTCCTTGGTTCCCTGGTGTCTCGCTACTTTACTTGTAAGAGCGGCACTCCCAGCCTGGGAGGGTCCTGCCTAAGCCAAGGCTTGGCATGTATAGGCCACTTTTGTTTGTAGCATTGCCCCGTTAGGGAAGGCTCTTAGGTTGCAGAGCAGTCCAGGCATCTATTGCTGCATAGCAAACCACCCAAAAACCTAGTGGCTTGAAATAGCAATGGTCATGTGTTTTGCTCATGAATTTGGCATTTGGCAGGCTTGGTAGGTGGCTCTGTGTAGTGTCAGTGGGGGCAGCCCAGTGAGGCCGGAGGACCCTCCTCCGTGGTGGCTCGCCCACAGGGCCCCCAAGTGGAGGCTGGTGCTGGTTTCCTGTGCGAGCCTCTCCCTGCAGCATGGGTGTCCTCACAGCATCGTGGCCACACTCCAGGAGCACACTCCCGCAGAGAACTTGGAGGGTGCCTGTTGCCTTTTAAGACCTGGCCTTGGAAATCAGAGCTTCGCTTCAGGGCAGCCACAAGTCTCCCAGATTCAAGAGTGGGGGTGGACCTCAGCTCCGCTCAGTGGGAGGAGCATCCACTGCCACACTGTAGGGGTGCAGTGGGAACCCACTGTGTGGTGCTGTTTGGAGTGTGCAGTCACCTGGCTGCATGGAGGTATGTGCGAGTTGACTGCCTCCATGGTGGTCTTCAACGTCAGGAAGCTCGGATTGACTCCTCGCATCCTACTGCACTGGTGTTAACAGTGCTGCACATGCCTCAAGCAAGAACTGCACAGCAGCTACAAACTGCCGCCCCGCTAAATGCTAATCTGGGCTAACAAGATGGTCATAATGTGGTTATATCCATTTTATAACTGGAGATTGAGTCCTGGGCCAATATCTAAGCTGGGGCTTTATCGTCACAATACAGTTTGTGCTTAATTTTAACTGGATGGTTTAAGCACTCACATAATACATGTGTGTGTGTGTCTGTGTAGTGTGTATGTGTATATATACCTACATATGTATGTGTGTACATGTCATTACATGTATGGCAGACTCCATGCTTGCCCTTATTGGATGGAAATTCAGCAGCACCAGAGGGCTTAATAGCTGGAGAAGCCAGTTTCAAGGACAGGCTATAGACAGCAGAGTACAAGGCAAAGTCATACCAAGGACACGAACTTCTACAAAGCACCTGGTTCTTGGGTGAGGGGCTCCACACTTGTGTGTAGCTGAGCAGCGGATGCATTGGTTGGGGGCTACAGCTTTGACATTGATAAGTAGCATATCAGCACTGAGGCGTCCACCTTTGGGCTCCCCATCTCAGTGGTCACCCCATCTCTCAGAGCCCCGTGTGGTCCTCCAAGGTCAGCTGAGCAGCTTCTCCATGCCAGGCTCTAAGGGCAGGCACCGAGGCAACAGAGCAGTGCCCCACCCTCAAGGAGCATCATTTTAGCAGGCGAGACAAACAGGAAACAAAGCAGGATAAAACTAGTTAGTTACCATGAAAAAGTGCAGGAGAAGGGAAACATGCACAGAACCACAAGGTCTGACACCTGAAGCCCAAGCCTTTTGGGGCGTCAGAGACATGGTTATGATTTGCTTGCTGAAGGATGGGAGGATCCGTCCCAGGGAAGCTAAGCAAGGAATTCAGGATGGGCTGGTGGGGAGGCCCTTAGGTGGGAGTTATAAGGCTGGTCCCGGGGCAGCTGGCCTGAGAGAGCCCAAGCAATGGACACGAGGTAGGCGGTGACCAGATCCTGCCAGATGGTGCCACTGGATGGATTTAGGTCCCATCCTCCCGTCAGTTCTCACCTGTTTCCCATCTACCAACCCACCTTCAGGAGCAGGGAAGTATCTGGGGACCAGGAAAGACATAGAAGGAGGGGCCTGTCACCAGGGCAGAGCTTGGGCCTTGTGGGGCCAGAAGCTTATACAGTTTGGGAGGAGACATACTCCTTTAGGAAGAATAATGCAAAATTATAAGTACAGTATTGGGTGCCAGATCTCGGTGGGCACATCAATGAGGGGCCTCCAGGCTGCAGTCTCATTTCTTGACAGAAAAGCCAGTTTGGGTTTGTACCTCACTCTAACCTCGAAAAGCCACCACTTCTCCCCTGAGAAACTCGAACTGGCCTCATTCACCCTCCGTTTTTCCTTGGCAGAGGTGGCAGGCAAAGCACCAGTCTGTCACACTGCAGTCTGGAAATCTGGCTCTCTCCTCCCTGACACTAGTGTCCAAAAGAACATGGGAATTTGCTCTTTGCCCAAGGCTTCTGTGACCTTTTCGCCCACATCAAGCAGGGCACATTGCTAGGACACTTTGTGACACAGGAAGATGAATCTCCACAGGTGAAATTCCTCGGTCAGGCCAGGTGAAGGCCACAGCCACTGAGCTTGCCTGTGGGAGGTGAGCAGGCTCCTGGAGCTCTGTTTTGTGGAGGGAGATACATGGATATGATCAGGGGCAATGCAGAGGTTCAAGAGTGAATAAACCACAACCGAAAATGGCCATGGGCTCCGCTCTCCAAAATCCCCCCAAGATGGTCATGGCTGTCTGATGACAGTGCCGCCTTGGTGGGTCTGGAAGGCAGGGGGACTGCTGTGCTTGGCTTAGAGGCGTCCGAGGTGAGGCCAGGGGAGGGGCACTGACAAGGCCCTCTAAGGCACCGAGAGGCGGGGGGCTTGGCACCTGAGCTTTTGGCCCCGGTGCCAGGTGGGGCTTTGGCTGTGAGGGCCCTGTCTTGGTTAGAGAAAGGACATGTGTCTTGTTGACTGCTGGCTGCCCCCCAAAATGCAGGGAAGGCACCCTTGGCCCTTTGTGGCACCTTCAGCCTAGCAGCCTGTTGCCTTTGACTTTCCCTTCGGAACTAAAAATCACAATATGATCCCATTGCTTTGGCAGAACCTGTCTCAAATACAGATTTTCTGCCCACCGCACCTCCCAAGATAGCAAACAGAGAAGACCAGACTGTCATCTATGAGTTCTTTACTCAATTGGATTAATGTTCACTCACATCTGAGAGCATTTAAGCATCTTCTCAAAGACAGAGTACCCTTCTTGAAAAACCTACTTGAAGGAGCACCTCGGTAGACTGAGACACACACTGGACAAAGGGGTACAAGCATTCTGCCTGGGAATGGCCACCGATCTGGGGTCCTTGGGCCTGAGCCCCCATACCGGGCATGGGCCTCCAGGGAGAGGAGGGCATGGTGGGGGTGGGCTCGTGGAAAGAGCCCCCCTGATCTGAAAGAGAGTAGCTGCTGTGATTTATTCGGTCCTGGGACCCTGTCCCCACCTTCCTTTTGTGTCTCCCTTACAGACAGTGTTCGAAAGGAATTGCCGTTCGGAGGACTGCGCCGCAGACCTGCAACTTCGGGGCCACCTGCTGCTCTCCAGGTAAGCCTGCCCCTCTGCAGGACATCGCTGGGGGTGTGCATTCCCCCACTGAAGCAGGTTGAGTTGGCAGGTTACCAGGCCATTCTGTGGCTTTAACAAAATGTGTGTTATAAAATAATTTTAACAGCAGCTATTATTTGAGAGGAAAAGTTTGGGTTTTCTTTGCAATCCCACGTATCTCCACAATTTAACCTATGTTTCTAATTTCTGTGAGTATTTGTGTGTTTGGGGATATATTTTATGTTTACTCATAGTAAGTCAAATTTTATGAAATTGTCAATATTTAACTAGGAAAATTCATATGATTCGGCTTACTAAATAAAATTTCTTTTTAATTTTCCCACAGTTAACAGTGGCATCTGCTCTAACAAGTAAAGGTTCGGGACAGGGGTGAGGGAGAGGGTGGCTGTCCCCATCCAGTGAGCAGACAGCCCTGTGTTGTTTTTGGTCTCCCCACGAGGTATGGGAAGCCCCTAGGCCAAACGGACTCCATAGAGGCCTTCTGATTCTTCCTGGCCAATCTTTTAAATTAGATTTCTTTTAGGATGAAGATGTTTGTCCAGAATCATTTAGTCAAGTTTCAGAGAATTGTTTCCTTATGAGACAGTTCCTTCGGAACAATTGTTTTAGCCTCGGGGCCAGAAAGCACCTCTGTACCACTTATTACCATTTTTCAAAAACAACCATCAGTTTTGATAGTTACTGATAAAGTGTGACACTATCTCTTATTTGTAATTAGGAAAGTTAAGTTTGGGTGGAATGAAAGAAAAACCTCATTGCGAACCAAGGGCTGTGCTAGGACACTTTTACTTATGATGGTTAATGATCTAGTATTTATCAAAGGAAATTAAGACTAAGATTCTTTTTCTTTTGATTGCATTTACTGGGGGAAAGGTGGTATAAACACATGTGCAAAAACTCAAGACCAATGAAGCATTATTTAGCATCACTCTTGTTTAGGATTAGAGTGGTAAAGTTGTGTATTTTGCCAAACTTAGAAAATTGCTTCAAGCTGAAGAGATGGATATTGGAATTTTTTTTTAAATGTTTGTAAGAAGGACCTCCTGGGATTATTACAGAAACCAGTTCTAAAGAAGGTTCATAAATTATCAGGTCATTACTTTTAGTCTGAAAAAGGTTTTTCCAAAGAGTGTTTTAGGGGAAGGTAACGTGAAGCAGAAAAAAAAAAAAATCTGGTTATCTTGAGGCAACTATGAATGTTGGAAATTTATTTTGGTTCATGGAAAACTTCATGTGGTGGGAAAGCGTCACTTGCTCCAAAGGTTAGATATTAGGCCGGGGAGCTCTTGCTGCCATTGGTGGATGGTCAGGTCTACTTCTGTTGAACTGTGCTTCTCATATATTAAGATATAAAACCCGAGGCTCATGTGCCTACAGCTGCCTTTGCTCCCCTACCTGGCCTCTCAAAAGTGTTGGTCAGAACCATCTCTGCTCTGTGGGCCCAGTAATCGATACTGCAAGAACAACTGGGATGGCAGCCAGGGCCCAGATTCCTGTATGGATCCGCAAACTGTAGCCACAAAAAAAATGCTGCCTAACAGAACCCAGTGGCTTAAACCACCAGTCGCTTAGTCCCATGGACCTGCAGGTCGGCCAAGGGTTGGCTGGTCTGGGCTACACTCAGCTGCATCTCAGCTGACTTGCTCATATATCTGGGGCTCAGCAGCGGTTGGTTGAGCTCAGCTAGGCTCCGGGGACCCCACTCGGCTCTGTGTCACATGTCTTACGTTGTCCTGCTGGACCCAGAGTCGTGCTCTTCTCATGGCAGTGGTGTGAGAGGGCAGGCAGACGCCAGCAATGACCCTTAAGACCTAGGCTCAGAACTGGTACCCAGCAAGTCATGTGGCCAACCCCAAGTCAGGGACAGGACAGCAGCCTCTGCCCCTTTAGTGAGAGGAACTGCAAAGCCACCCAGCAAAGGGGACAAGTTTCGGGTGCAGTGGGGAATCGGGGCCAACAGCGCCATCTACCCTGCCACGTGAAGAACAGGGCAGCTGTGTGTCTTTCCCAGGAGTTTTCAGGGCTAGTTCAGCCCTTCTTGCAATTCCATCTGCCTAGAACTCAGACCTGAGACCTAGATACAGTGAGTGAGGAGATTTTCTGAATCTCAGAAGCCATGTGCGGAAGAAAGCCCTCACCCTCTCCTGTGACACGTTATTTCCCAGGTGGCCCCTCAACTCTCAGGGCTGGATCCTCCATTAAGCCTTTATACTCTGGGGCCCATAGCTATCCCCAAGGGAGTCATCAGAGAAACAGTAATTGGTACTTGATAAATGCAGACACAGAAGTAAACCCATGGTTTCAGTTATACTGGGTTTCCCCAGACCTCCGAGAAGAGCCGGGCACAAGTGAGAGAAGGTGGTCTGGGACTCTAGGGGTTTGTGCTGGGTCCACAGGCTGGGGGCTTGAACCAGAAGTGAGTTGCTTTGGTTATTGGTTATTATTTGGTTATTTAACTCTTCTGATTCACTATTGCCTGGGATGGGGTGTAAATTTCTCCACTGGTCAGACCAGGGAAGTCCTGCAGTAATAAACACTATGTGTGCACATTGGACGGGGGCCACTGGGCCATGGTGGCTCCACCCGTCAGTGTTAGGAGAGAGGTAGGTGGCTCATTCCAGGGCCAAGGAGCAGCTTCTAGGAGCATACAGGCGTCCTGGGCAGGGAGAAAGTGTGCAGAGTCATGGGGGTGTGGGGAGCAGGGTTGTCCCCACGCAAGTGTGCTGGTGTTGGGCATGAAGGGAGGGGGTCAGGGGAACGCGGTGACAAATGGGCAGGAGAGATGGGTTGGACGGTGACACACCTGTGAGTTTGGACTTCATCTGGAAGCCAGTGGGAGTACAGCAGAATCTCAGCATATGTGCATTGAGCTAATGAGAACACAGGCACACTCAGGCAGGGAGGGAGGGAGGGGCAGAGATTGACAGAGATGGTGTGGGTCACTGGTCCTCTGTTCCACTCAGGGAATGTGAGTTCCAGCTTGAGCGTGGAGTCAGCTGCTCTCTTTGTCCATGTCAGCTCCCGCACCCCTGGTACAGGTCCGCAGAGCAGCCACCTCTGTCTTGTGCAGGAGCATCCTCGGCAGGGTGGGATGTGGGTGGGATGTGTCAGAGATGCTGTGCTGATCTCCACCACGGTGCCCTCTCCAGGGCTTCAGAAAGGTGACTTGCACACAGTTTTGCCTTTCACACTCATCTTTAGAACCTAGCTCTCATGTTAGCTGTGACCCACTGCACTGAAAAGTCACAGCAAAGGGACAACAGAAAGATAAGCCTTTATACTCTGGGGCCCATAGCTATCCCCAAGGGAGTCATCAGAGAAACAGTAATTGGTACTTGATAAATGCAGACACAGAAGTAAACCCATGGTTTCAGTTATACTGGGTTTCCCCAGACCTCCGAGAAGAGCCGGGCACAAGTGAGAGAAGGTGGTCTGGGACTCTAGGGGTTTGTGCTGGGTCCACAGGCTGGGGGCTTGAACCAGAAGTGAGTTGCTTTGGTTATTGGTTATTATTTGGTTATTTAACTCTTCTGATTCACTATTGCCTGGGATGGGGTGTAAATTTCTCCACTGGTCAGACCAGGGAAGTCCTGCAGTAATAAACACTATGTGTGCACATTGGACGGGGGCCACTGGGCCATGGTGGCTCCACCCGTCAGTGTTAGGAGAGAGGTAGGTGGCTCATTCCAGGGCCAAGGAGCAGCTTCTAGGAGCATACAGGCGTCCTGGGCAGGGAGAAAGTGTGCAGAGTCATGGGGGTGTGGGGAGCAGGGTTGTCCCCACGCAAGTGTGCTGGTGTTGGGCATGAAGGGAGGGGGTCAGGGGAACGCGGTGACAAATGGGCAGGAGAGATGGGTTGGACGGTGACACACCTGTGAGTTTGGACTTCATCTGGAAGCCAGTGGGAGTACAGCAGAATCTCAGCATATGTGCATTGAGCTAATGAGAACACAGGCACACTCAGGCAGGGAGGGAGGGAGGGGCAGAGATTGACAGAGATGGTGTGGGTCACTGGTCCTCTGTTCCACTCAGGGAATGTGAGTTCCAGCTTGAGCGTGGAGTCAGCTGCTCTCTTTGTCCATGTCAGCTCCCGCACCCCTGGTACAGGTCCGCAGAGCAGCCACCTCTGTCTTGTGCAGGAGCATCCTCGGCAGGGTGGGATGTGGGTGGGATGTGTCAGAGATGCTGTGCTGATCTCCACCACGGTGCCCTCTCCAGGGCTTCAGAAAGGTGACTTGCACACAGTTTTGCCTTTCACACTCATCTTTAGAACCTAGCTCTCATGTTAGCTGTGACCCACTGCACTGAAAAGTCACAGCAAAGGGACAACAGAAAGATCCCTCAGATGACGGGGGAGACAGTGCATGTGAGGCATGGTGGCTGGAGGCAGCCAAGCGCCCACCAGACTGAGGAGGCTCTTTCTTGAGGGAAAAGACGTCTGGGAGAGATTGGGACACCACAGAGGCCAGGGATCCAGCCAGGAAATGCTCTGACTAGGACTAGGAGGTCTTTATTTTTCTCTCTAGAGAGCATGAATTCTGGCACAGCTGTTGTCTCTTCAGACAATCAACTCTTCAATTAAAACTCCACAGTCCTTAATGTTTGGGAACCTAGTTCCAAAACACACCATTTCCAAAATGTCCAGGATAGAGATAAAGCTGTTTAAATAGTCTGTATTAAACAGAACCGAACATTCCATTGTAAAATGATGCAACCATGTTTTGTTTTGTCTGAATACTCACAGCACCTGAGAATACATCACATGTGATTAAGATAAAGAAAAATAAGTATGGACTATGGCAGTTGAAAAAAAATCCTTTTTGGTGTATCCCATAGGAGACCAGTGGGACATTTCATGATTTCATGACTCCTGGCTAGCAAACTCCAATAATGAAAGAGTTCTCTCAGGGAGGTTAAAAGACACAGAGGAATATTTACAAACTGAGAAGAACCATCTAGTGGCTACACGTGATGGTCCT